GAGAGAGAGAGAGAGAGAGAGAGAGAGAGAGAGAGAGAGAGAGAGAGAGAGCTCGACTATTGTATCACCCTATGCTGCGTGCACTACGGGGAATCTGCATGCGCTATTCCCGCATCGCATCATCGCGCATTCAGCCGAGCCGGGTCGTGTCGCAAGTGCCGCGCTCTTATGAATGGCGTTTCACGCGCGCGTGGACCTTCCCCCTTCGACGTCGCGTGCATTCGCGTCGCGGAGGCAGAGGTACGCGCCTCATCAAGATCCGACGAGATAGGGCGCCGGCTATCAGGCGTTCTCGACTACGTTGACCCGTAATACCGTTGCGCCAGAACGCGCGCACACACACGCGCGCACGCGCGAGTACGCTTTGTTATCACATGCATGACGATGACGATGACGACGACGACGACAACGAGGACGATGACGACGGTGGTGGAAACTTTCCGCGGCTAGATACGATGCCTCGAAACTCTCTGTGAACACATCCCAGCTTCTCGAGATACCGCATTCTCCTCTACCTTTGCATAGTTAGAATGTCTCCGCGCTCGACGACGCACTCGGGAATTCTTTTTACGTGAACAACGCTCGACCTTGACGTTCCGCCGAAATTTCGGAGCGGAGGAGTCCTGGGACGACCCAGTTAGCGATACTAGGACACTAAGCAGCATCCAGCTGATTATTCTAGGTCATAACCGGGTGGGTCATACGTGTGTAACATGCTAGCTACATGGGTTTCATAGGATTTAAAAGTAAAGTAATTCTCTTTAACGATAAGAACTCTGAGATTTTTATTTGTTACGTTTTAATCGCTACTATACTTATTAAAATTTTCTGGTTATATATTGCATCTGTCGTGATTGAAATTTATTGATTTTTCGGTCTCTAATTTTCGATATATATATATATGTATACTTTTTCTTATTATACAACAAATCAAATCCAAGATAAATTTTTCACAAGAGAAACGTATAGACTTTGAAAAATTTGGTTGTTTTTCTTTTTCGGTTCACGCATTGTAATTTTAATTTTTACATAACGTATTAAATTAAATGCTTAATGAACAAAAATGGATTTTAATCGAGTTACGGGTCGCGAATTATTATACAATTTAAATAATATTGTTACGCGAGATTCAACGCGTGCATCTTTCCGAACGTGCAATTAACGGCGTGACAGGGAGCCCTCGGTGAAGGGTGCTTTTTGTCCGAAGCGCGACGTTTCCAATACCGCGCCGCGGTGCTATACAGGGGTAGTACACATTGTGTAACGATGTACATTGTACGCGTCTCGTTTCCGCCCGTCGGTGTCAAGGGAGCCACTCTTGACCGTGGCAGGCCCGACAATCTCGTCTCCGCAGGATCAGACGGCTTTAGTACGGGGGGGAGGGGGGAAAGTAACGTGGGGAGGATTGGTGCTTGAGGCTCCTTAATTAAGGTCTCTAACAACGGTCCTTGTATCCTGCAGATGCGCGGAAGATATCCGGCTACCGCACGGATGATATCCGGCGTTTGACTAATTTCAGCCGTTCCGTCAACAGCGCGGAATGAATGCACGAAATGCATTCATTGCCAAGGATCCGTGTACTTGGGATTATATCGTGGAATTATAATCCTGACGGTGTAATGATTTTTCGAAATAGTTGGCTAATTAACGAGACACATTAACGCGCGGAGCATTAACGATCAATGAAATTAATTTACTATACAAAGAACATATCTCTATATCAAATTTCTACACGTGAGGCGAAGTTTTAGCATAATATTGTATTATATACATATTTGTAAGAAGTATATTAAATCGTTTTTTATGAATTTTAAGTTCAGAATTGTTAGATCTGTATTGTTCTAAATATTTGAAAGCGCTCGACTTTAGTAATTGCATCAAAAGTTACGAGCTAAGAGAAATTTGCAAATTTTCCATTTTAACGAAATTAAATTTTATCGTGGGAATACATCATTTATTCACGATGAATTATGTAACACAGCGATCAAATTGCTTTCGTAACTTGGTAATAAAATTAAAAATGCAACTAATAATCACGAATAACTAATGATACGCGATGTGCAATTATTTATAAAAAATAAATTTTTACTTTAATTTATAATTTAAGTGCAAAGTGAAGAAGTAGACAGGCATGTTCGAGAATGCATGTTTCGGTGGCACGCCACTTATCTCCGCTTCGACCATGACCTTGCGTCATTTCCAACAATTTCTGGCTTTGAAATCCCAGAGTACGAGGGGGGAAACATAGTTTCTCTAGCCCCGACCCCAATACTCAGAGAAACTAGGGTGCGCCCGTAAACGATTGTACCCTCGAAAACTTGCGCTATCCACTGCCTTTCTTTTACAGTATTTTTGTAGAAAGAGAGCTTATACCCTCTCTTACTTGTTCGATTCGGTCACGAAGAAAAGTAACAACGTGTTTCATGCTATCTCAAGTAATCCAATATAAGGAATCCAATCTAAAATTTAATAATGATCCGAGGAATTACCCGGCATAAAAGATTCAATAATTATGTGTGGGATTATCCTCGACAAGCTACCATTACTCTCTCACTAAATTATTTTCACGATTGAATTATCTATTTAATAATTCTTAGGGAAGAAGTTCACTGCACGATAACTTTATTCGAAGCGTTAGAAACTTTTATTGCGGTTTCTATCGCATAATAAAAATTTGTCATATACTGAAAAAGTTTTGATATATACTAGACCTCATAAAAAAACTTTATGCTGTCTCGGAAGCGGAGAGAAAAAGAAAATCCTCATATAGTACCAACGTGAAGACTAGAGCTTTACAAGGCTCTATTAAGTGTATTCAAAACATGCTAAAGAATAATAAGTGTGAGGAGCTCCATCGTACGGAATTGCTTGAACTTTCCTAGAGAGAGCTTGAATTGCAGCTGGGAATTCCGAAAGGGTTAACGGCCGGCTGCAATTCGAGCCGCGACGTTAATTCATCGCACGGTGATAAATTACGCCGCGGGGCGGAATGTGCATGCGGGACCGATGATCGTGTCGAAGTTATGCGAAGGCACAATTGTGCAGCATCGCGCCACGCCGCGCCGACGACACGGCGAGAAGGCGGCGGAAACGCCGCCGGCGGGCTCGTGCAAATATTCCGGCCGCCACCGTCTCACCCCCGCCCGATCGAATGTCATTATCGCTCCATCATCCACTCGGCGGCGACTACGTCGAGATGCTGATGAATACACCACGGGTGGAAAAGCTCGCTCTCTCCCTCCCTCCTGTACGGCTTCTTTTCCGACGCGTTCGCGCCGATGTTGGCACGTCGGTCGTGAAAATATTTTGCGGAGATATCTCCACGGCTCCTCGTCTATTCACAAGGCGGGATTAAAGCGACACGAGAGGCGCCGATACACACTTCGCGCCGCCATCCATTCTCGCTCGCGGTGCACTGATAATTGAGAGCTTTGCGTAAAAAGGGCTGCAAAGAGCGGAACATAAAATTCTCCGGGGGGAAAACTCCTTCTCTCGGACGTATCTATTTGTTACGCCGGAAGAATGTATGAATTTTTCACATCTAGATCAAATTCCTGCTTAAATTACTTCGCTGGATTTTAACCTCTTCTCCCGTGATACTCTCTTGAGCTCTTAATTCACGTGTCTTAATCTTTTTTACGACTGTCACGTCTGACTGGAATTTATAATTTTACAACGTCGCGCGCCAAGAAAAAGGAAGTGTGAAAGTAGAAAGTTGGCCTCCGATATTCCCTCCTTCTTCGTTATATTTTAAGCGCCCGAGTTTATGATAACGCAAACGTACGTACTTCTCGCGATTCCGTGAAATTACGGAAACATCCCCGAGTCTGCTCTCCTCTTTCGTATCCGTGGCGTGTTATCGTCGTTCCGTCGCGGCCAATGCGACGTTTTTATGGACAGATTTCATAATTTTCTGCGAGCTTTACTGCCGCTTGCATTCGCGTTAGACGATATTATAGCGGGTCGTTTCGCGTTGATAGATTTTGCACGGGAAAACCGGTGCGGCTTGAAAATTTATGTTTAATTTGTATAAGGAATCAATTGTACGAAGACAGTTACGAAATTTGCCGAATTATCGGAGGTACCGCATGCGGAAAATTGACCGATCAATATTAGCCGACAGCCATATACAATATGGTATCATTGACAGGTGAAAAAAATATGTGGCAATTGGAGTTAAATGTTTTTGCAATTTTTAGGGCTACATATGTACCTCGTGCAATATCAATATTAATGCAATTAAGAGGACATCAGCGTCGCAGCGGGGCAAAATAGCGTGCTCTAAAAGGATAGCAATCGTCGGTCGATGGGCGATGCCATAACTAAATTACGCCGAATGGCAGTAATCTTAAAGAGATGTTTGCGAATTCACGAAATGCATTCTCGATGCGCAACGGTAACGATATTTCCGGCATGGCGTTTACGATAATTGCTTTAATCGTAATTGCACGAAGTTTCCCCGCGCGTATACATATATGTACGTGTACATATATTTTAAAGCTTTTTCAGCGCGCGCGCGGTTCTAAAAGTGCCAACGCGATTACTGAAATGGCCGCGCGCCCGCGAGCGCGAGCGCGGAGAAATGCTCGCTACGTTCCTACAATTTCCCTCATTCTGATAATTGCAAGGCAGAAAACTTGCCCGAAGCTACAGAAAAGTAGCTCGCGCGATTTCAGGTGCTGATTCCGTTTGTGTCTAGTAACACGGGGCTTAATTTGTAATAAGTAGACCGTCAGTAGAATATGGTAATAACGGCAATTAATGTTAGTACTGTATATCAACATACAAAGTTAA